CTTTTATCGTCAATCTAATTTAGCAGTGAGATTTTGTTTTGGGGAATAATGTCGCAGAACGAAGGAAAAATGTACCTCGAGGACGAAGCGAAGAGCTTCTTCCAGATCCAGTAAAACGTACAGAATAATGTACGGGTAGTTATGCAGAGCGGGAGGATGTACAGGAAAATTACGGGAAAAAGTACCGGCAAAAGTAAAGTCTTATATGAAACATGTAAAAGTATCTATCAGCGATTCGTTTTGTGTTTAACAACTTTTACTATAAGCATTCAATGATAATGTTATAACTATTATTTCAATTCTTAGATTCCTCGTCGATGTCCGTTCCTTTATCTGAGTACCAGCGCACGCTGCCATCATATTTTCATGGACTCTTCTTTTCTTGACCACTCCTTCCTCATGAAATAGGCATTCCATCGGCGCATTCATAATACACTTCAGTCTTGCAATAATAACATTAATCGTAAAATTAAATTAGAGAAGCATAGAAAGTATTTAGTGCTAACATAGTATGGGATCTGAGAGAGAAAAGCAGATACATGTAACGCTATTATCATCCACACCAAGTTACACAATACTTGTAGGTGACAGATTTCGGATTTACCTACTGCGACAGATCTTAATATTTCCTACATTATCATAGGATATTGCAGTTTTCAGTTAGTGCATGGCTGTTCTCAGAGCGTGACATCTAACAGGCATGTCTTCGCCTGGCTTCAGTCTGCTCATAGCCACCGAGAAACAAAAACGAGGCAAGAAAACTCAGAGTTCGTACGTGCCTATGTTTCTGTTGACACCTCGCTCTGATTGGTCAACTTTGACCTGTTCCCATTTAAAAACTAACAGCTTCCGGATAAAAGGAACGTCATTTTCGTGATCAATGATGCTTCCCGAACATCACCATATCCTCCGGGTCAGGTAGTTTCGGCACACCTTGTATATTTACTCATCTTTCAACAGTTCTACCTCTGTTCTCATTGTCCATTTAATTAATCAACTGAAATAAATACTGAGTAATTTGAGACTCTTCAATAAAACTTCCGCTATCATTACTGATACACAGATCCAATTGCACAAATGCGAATTTTTGCATCTCGAGCGATCTTCCATCGGTCATTCAACGATATTGTAAACTATCTTATCTGACGGAACCTTTTCAAAGATTTAATGCTGTGTTCAGACAGTATACTTATCCACTAACCTACCCAGTCTCCGGAGTTTAAATATTCCATCCTATCCTAACCTTACCTAACCGAACCAAGAGTAAACTAGTGTAAAATCACATACAATATACTAATAAGATATCTTGCGTACCTAATTCTATTCCATCTATTTAAAACCGGACAAAATTTGCAGTAAGAAGTCACTTGTGTCTAATTGGGTCTTTGCGCAAATTGGTCCCCCATTATTGCCAGCCTTGGTTAATCTGGGGTGGACACCCTCTAGGTGAACGTCTTGAATCCCCCGCCATCTTGACGATCCCTTGTCGACGATTCTATACAACGAAATTCCCCTTAGGATTTTTATTTTCTTGTACATCTTTTTCATTGTTCAGTCTTCGGCCTTTCTCTTCTTTTCTTGATTCGATATTGTCGCTAAATTGCTAATACGCGAAGACCACACTAATAACAAAAAGCATGAAACACTTTTTTACGCGCGCTTACATCAAGCACGAAACACAAAATGAGGATTGGCTCGGGGAACAATGGAAAGGGACTGAAGAATAAGCGTTTCGTTGTTTTTAGCTCTAAACGTTCGTGACATCTAGCGGGAAATAGACAGTGTTACATATGTAATCTCTATAACGAGACGAAGATATAATTTCAGTTTTATTCACAGAAATGTATAATGTCATTTATAATATAAACGTATTATGTATATTACAAACCACGATTGGCCAATTTCAAGAAATACACTGAATAGATATTTTTGGTTGTGCAGGGTGTTGCAGTGGTTTAATTCTATATGGTGTGGAAATTCGAGAACAGCATCTAATAAGAACGATGAAGTGATGAGAGATGACGTTAATAAGAATATTAAACAAGCTACAAAAACCAAATTTAGTGGAACCTATACGCTGAAAGTCGAAAAACCTACAGAAGTATCAATATTACTATTTATTAGACAAACGCTTGCTGCCCTGGGACCAATGCTCTCAACGGTTTGCATCGGAATTACTGTTGGTTACAGTGCAATCTTGCTTGCACAATTGCAAAAGAATACACAGTTTTCTGAAGGGTCACGCGCAAATATATTAATTGGGACCACGAACGATGAGTCCTGGTTGGCTGCTTCAGGTGCACTTTTAATGTCTCCCGGTTGCTGGTTATCCGGGATTCTCATGGAATTCTTTGGAAGAAGAGTAACTCATTTAATTATTAGTCCTATATTTTGTTTAGCTTGGGTAGCTATTGGTTTAGCTCCCAATAGGCCAACTCTAATTTTTGGCCGATTGCTTTGTGGACTCTGTGTGGGTCTCCAAGCACCCCTAGGACCAGTTTATGTCGCAGAAATCAGTGAACCTCAATTACGCGGTATACTTTTATCTGCGATTAGTTTAGCGGTATCTATAGGAATATTATTCGTACACGTTGTGGGATCTTTTGTGTCATGGGAGAATACAGCTCTTATTTCGATGGTTTTTCCTATTCTTTGTTTCTTGATTTGTCTCAACGCGCCTGAAAGTCCAAGTTGGTTACTTAAGAAACATAAATCCACTTTAGCTCGAGAGTCCTGGATTTACCTGCGTGGATTAGATTCTTTTGAAGAGTTTGAAAAAATTGGATTGGCAGAACAGAATAATACTCGCCTTCAAGATGTAGAACCAACTTGCAATTATTCTAAACAAAATAATTCTGAAGCTCATGGCACTTCAGAATTGACCATCGTGGAATGTGGGGTAGGAGCACGCACAGTGCAGGAAGAACCCAATGTAAAATCAATTGTTGAATCGATTCAGAGTATTACACAAGAACAAAGTACTTCAATATCCAATATACATCAAAATGATCACAATTCGCAAAAACAGAAGATCAAATCAGTTAAAAGGTTGTTCAATATATGGACCAATGCAATGTTTTGGAAGCCATTAATCATTTTAAACATATTTTTTTTCGTCGCTCAATTCTCAGGCGTGAATGTATTATCATTCTATTGCGTGCAGCTTCTAAAGGAGGTAATGACATCGACCGAAAATTCTTATCTAGCTACAATATTAGTGGATTTAGTGCGAGTATTAGCTAGCGTCCTGGCTTGTTGGATGACCAAAAAGTTTTCACGTCGCTTCTTAGCTATAACATCTGCAACCGGAGCTTCTCTTAGTCTTCTAATTCTTTCTGGGGTAATGTTTTGGAATATGGCAACATCTTGGATTCCATTATTCCTCCTTTTAATATTTGTATGCGCAGTTTCGATAGGCCTCGTTCCTCTACCTTGGCTTCTTTGCGGCGAAATATTTCCAACGCCAGTCCGCGCTCTTGGCACCGGCATTTCTTCCGCTTGCGCTTTTATATATTTCTTTGCCGTTGTGAGACTTGGTCCTTTTATGCTCAAGGATCTCGGATCTCCTTGCACATTTTTCATTTTCGGCCTCATCACTCTCATCGGCACTTGCCTGTTATACTTTTTTCTTCCGGAAACTAAGGACAAAACTCTTACGGATATTGGACGGTATTTTCAAAAAAAAAATGATGTCTAATATATCTCAAAATTATACATAATTGGTTTCAATGTGACTAAAATTTCTCATTTGACGCCGATTTATGCGACTCTATCACAATTTTCTGGTATAATATCCTTTTTATTACTGAGACCATAATTTCTATTTGCACAATAGTTCGTATCATTAAAAAACTGTCAGATGGTGGTGCAAAATTTCGTACTTTCGAAAGTCTTTTCTTTGTACTATAAATCTAAGTGTCGTACAATGTGTGCCGATTCGGCACGCAGCAAAGTGTGAGATTGAAACTTAACGTTTAAAAATAACACACACGCTATGTGTAGTATATAAAATAAACACACTTGTGCATAATTTTCATATAATACATTTCTGTAATATTTGTGATATGAAATGGTTGATTTCAATGTAACACATAAATTAGAAATAACCGTAACCATTTGAATATTATGCACATAATGATGGCACACTTTAAATTTTTAACACGTTATCAGAATAATATATAAAAAACGTTCGAATGCATGCTTTATTAATTGACATACCTAGAACTATGAATTTTTACTGTAAGAAACATTTAGAAATTTAGATGAAAAAGTTTGAGAAATTTAATAAACTCAGTACTTAAATTGAATTAAATGTACAAAAATTTAAAATGTTATATTTCTACTTTAATGTTAAAACCCTTAAATTTTTTATATTTTTCTCTTTAAGATTATATGGAAATAATTGAGAAAGTTAGGAATAAATGGGATTAAAAAACATGCAAGAATGCAGCATGTAATACCTACAATTTTAGATGTTAACGCCAAAATCTTTTGTAAAAGTATGGTGAGAAATAAAATTAGTATTATTATAATACATATCTCTCTAATTTAATCTGTATCTATAATATTTAAGTTGCTAAATTAGGTTTTTAAAATACATATGAATTTTATAACCTCCTACTAGCGTTTTCCGAAATTTTCTCAACATAATTAAAAACTGTAACATGGATAAATATTCAATAAAAGGAACATGATAGTTATATTGATGATATTAGATGGAGTCTCGTCCTCCTTCCTTAAGGCTTCTTCGAAGGTACCTCAAGGTTCGATTTTGGGTCCCTTCCTATTCGCGTTGTATCTGAAAGATTTACCAAGTGTCACCTCAAATTGTTCACACTCCATCTATGCTGATGACTTACTTATTTATTTACACTGTAAACCCAATGGTCTGATAGATGCCCATCGATGGTGAAGAATAACATAAATGCAATCACTCAATGGGCTGCTTTAAACTGTCTTAGTTTAAATCCCTCGAAGATGCACTCTATGATTGCTGGTTCACCTAAGTATCTAAGTAAGTTAAATATAGAATTGGTACCATGTTTGCGCGTTGATTCTAAAACGATTCCCTTTGTATCATCTATGCGTTGTCTTAGAGTCGAAATAGATAATACTCTCACTTGGACCGAGCATATGCTGGAGGTATATAGAAGGATAAACAAGACGCTGTGCATGCTGAAGACAAATTGCGCTACCCTGAATGTTAGTCTCAGGATATCACTTGTGACAGCTCTTATCTTTCTTATTATCGATTACTGTTTACTGGTGTACGGCTGCTGTTCCAGTGGACTAACACAAACGGTGCAAGCGGCGTTAAACTCGTACGTGCGTTTTATCTTTGACATGCGCAGAGATGAACACGTTACGCCTTATTATCGTCAGCTAAATTGGCTAAAAATTAGGCTAAGGCGACTTTTTCTGCTTGGCAACCTTATTTATAAATTTTTACATAGCGGTAGTCGTACGTATCTTAGATCGGCACTTGTCACTTCATCTTTCACGCACTTGTCTCGCGAAACCAGACGTAGGAACGATGACCTTATTGTGCCTATTCATCGTACCGAGTGTTACAAACATGCTGTTCATGTTGGTGGAGCTCTATTCTGGAATTCTTTGCCAACCGTGATTAGGGAATCTCCCTCTAAATCCACGTTCCGCACACGACTACGTGATCATCTAATTGTGGAACAATAAGTGTTGTTACACTCATCAGTACAATTAGTATTAAGTTATATAGTAGTTTGTCATTGTTTACCTTATTCTTATTATTAGTGTTTCATTGTTATCATCTGCTCAGTTAGTGCATATAGTATATTATCGATAGTATGTACCGAAAGTATGCCATACTTACTATGGTTGTATACTCTATTATTATCAAGAGACTTGATAGAGTTGAAATTTTAACATCAAGAGAGTCGGTCGAGTCTCGCATCAAGTATAGGCAACCCGGCGTACAGGGCACGGCCCACCGAGACTCTTTACTCGAAGCATCTCTTGTACCTGTGTTTCGACAATATTTTATGAACGGCTAAATATTTTATGAACGGCTATGTCTGAGAAAATATTATTGATACGTTCACTATAGGAATCAAAGATTCTGAATCGATTGCCACCAAGTTCAATACGATTAGTGCACGAGATCAGGGCGTATTCACATGGCGAGCGAAATGATTTTATTTCAGGTCCGTCGTCGTCGCCGTCGTCTTCGCACGACCTCCGTGAAACTGCCCGGCGCACTTTCACTTTTTGAACTTTTTCTTTTGCAGATCATTTGTAGGTCGTTTGTAGGTATTTGTGGGCTTAATTAAAACGTTTGTCAGTTAACGGTTTATTAAAAAAATCAAAAATAAAAATGTATATTAAGTTGGCCGTAATTTTTTAATTTTTTTATCTATCTTTGTTTTTCACGTGGCCAATCGATGCGAAATCGTTTGTAGGTCACAGACAATCCAATTAGTATATTTGTCGGATCGTTATTTCAATAAAATAAGCAGAAAACGTATTTGGTGCATTTTCCGCGGAACGGTCATATGACCACGGGAAGTTGACAGCAAAAATCGTAATTAATGATAAATGTTTATTTAATTGGTACTTAGTCGATTCGAAATCGTTTGTAGGTTACAAATAAAGTAATTAGAACGTTTGTCGGTAACTGGTGCGAAAAATAAATGTAAGTGACCGGATCGTCCCCAGTGCCGGCAGCGATAATTGATGTCTGCAAGAAAATGTTTTGGCAGAAAAATGTCTTATTTGCAAATACCACTAAAGTACAAAAATTGTCATAAGTTTTCGTAATTTAATTGCAATCATATGATCGTCTTGCATAAAAGTCACCAAATACGTTTTTTGCTTATTTTATTGAAATAACGATCCGACAAATATACTAATTGGATTATCTGTGACCTACAAACAATTCCGCATCGATTGGCCACGTGAAAAACAAAGATAGGTAAAAAATAAAAAAATTACGGCCAACTTCATGCAAAGTTTTATTTTTGATTTTTTAAATAAACCGTTAATCGACAAACGTTTTGATTAATCCTACAAATACCTACAAATCACCAACAAACGATTTGTAAAAGAAAAATTTCGAAAAGTTCCGGCCAGTTCACGGAGGTCTTCGCACGTCCATCTACTTTTTTACACAACAGATGGCGCTGACTGATTTGCCTTTTTTACCTATCTGTATTCTGGATGGTGTTGGTAATTGAAGAATACACAACACAATCAAATACACTTTGTACGTGAAGGTACCGTTCACACCGAATTTCCAGTTAATATAAGGCTACTTTCACAATAGTACAGAATTATTAAGGCTTTCATGGAGCGCGTGTGTATGGGTGTATGTACGTGTGTCCTTCGACATAATTCCTCGTATTTTAAGTGACAGTTTTTAGAGATATAGGATGTCCAGGTGTTCCTCTCCGTAATTTTCTGTTTCTAGATGTTAGATGTGGAAGTCTAGAGTGTCCAGGTGTTCCGCTCCGTAGTTTCTTGTATCTAGATACTAGATGTAGGAGTCCAGGGTGTCCAGGTATTCCACTCCGTAGTTACTTGTATCTAGGTGTCGGATGTGGAAGTATAGTGTCCAGAAAAGCGTCCAACGAGCGGAGCTTTGGCGCTTCGCTCAAACCATAGTATCCTCTCTGTTGTTCGCACGGCCTGAGATACGTAAATAATCCAGCATACTCTCCTCTCTTATGTTTACTACACGGCTTCAAGAAGCTAGACACAATTAACAACGCTTATGTGCATTCAAGATTACATTATCTTTAAAAATTTGTATATATCTTTATGCATTTCTAAAAAAAGAGACTTACAAATTAAATTTATGTGCCATTAAACATTTTTGACAACGCAATATATTTTTCTGATTAGCGACATCATAATGTCGCTAATCAGATTTTATAATTATAATCATAATTAATAATCATAATTTATATAATAATCATAATTTATATCTGTAAAAATATAGATTTCAGTGCTTAGAGCTTCTATATCCCGTTGAGCAATAAAAACTTGTGATATCCCCTAAAGACACTTACTTGTAAAAAACTACGCCAAGTACAGGAATGATGTGAATTCCTGTGACAAAAAGTATTGAAATCATACTATTGAAGCCAAGTACTGTGACGTTGCATTTTCAGAAATGCACGTTACAAGGGTATTGTCGTGGGAAATTGGAGTGCGGGCTGGATTTACAGTCCGCTATTACGTAAGCGTCCACTAACGAGGGTCGGGGAACCACCTAGAAAACATATGATCTGTAAATTAATTATATCTAATTTTAATCTATACCTATGAACCAGCCTATACTCACCAACACGGAGAACTTTGAAGCTAGATACCTGCGTGGGTCGACATTACCGACCCCGGCGGGACTGCTATACCGACCGCTCGACCCGATCGCCACTGCTGGAACCCGCTGAACTTGAACAGCTCAACGCATACGACCAATATCGCAGCTGCCGCCAACCTGAGAAGTCTCTGTGAAGGGGTTACCGTGTTACCTGTTCTGACGCCACGAAACTCCTGCTGCCTCCACCGAGGTTGTCCTGTTACCTGACATCGGGATGCGAGTCCGGCATAACCACATGTGAATCCACTGCGCTCAGGAGGAATACTCGAAATACCCGGGTGAAGGGCCACCTCGTCTGTCGTCCTAGGGGATCCTTGTGCACTGTGGGCATGATAAGGCTTTCCCCATAGACGTGGAGCGAAGATCCGGTCAGACGGGAAGCTGTCATTCGGAGAGTCATCGAAATGCAAAATACAGAGCATAGGAAAAGACCACTTTCCTGGAGTCAAGATTCATACGCTACCTGTAGCCGCTAATCTACCTGGTTACCTACATCGGCAACCTCCGGTTAAGTAAGGAAACTCGAAGGGACGTAACACTATTTCGGAGCATCCCAGCAGAACTTCAAAGGCGCTGCGCGACGAATACACTCTCCAAATTTCTCGACGACAACATTCGGGCAGCGGCATGGCAACGCGGGAGATGCCAGTACCGCCCTCCGTCGGAGCACTAGCGTACTACTATTACCCAGAGGGCTGCGTAAAGGATGCGCACGCAACCGCTCGAACGTTTGAAGCTACCTGATAGGGTTAATGATCCTAGATCCTGGCGATATATTATCAATACGCATCT